TAGTTTCCTCATCTGACAAGAAGGTTAATTATTCAAGGGATTGTTCCTTAGGTTACGATTGTACATGCAGAGTACGAGACATAGTGTCTAGCATATTATAGGTAGGTAACAAATAGAAACTATGATTACTCTTTTTATCCCAGAAGATGGAGTTTTAAAGAAGTATAACACAGGTTTTTTTTTTTGTTTGTTGTTTTGTTTTGAGACAGAATCTTGCTCTGCCACCCAGGCTGGAGTATAGTGGTGCAATCTCAGGTTACTGAGACCTCTGCTTCCTGGGTTCAAGTGATTCTCCTGCCTCAGCCTCCAGAGTAACTGGGACTACAGGTGCCTGCCACCATGCCTGGCTAATTTTTGTATTTTTAATAGAGATGGGGTTTCACCATATTGGCCAGGCTGGTCTGGAACTCTTGACCTGTGATCTACCCACCTCAGCCTCCCAAAGTGCCGTGATTATAGGAGTGAGCCAACGCGCCTGGCCTAGAAGCATAACGCAGTTCAGTTATAGAGACCATTTGAAGGGATAGACCATAATAAATGAATGCTATGATATGGAAACAATAAGATCAATAATGAGTATTTAAGGAGCTCAAAAAGGATTTTCTGGAAGAAGCAAAATGTGATGTTTCCGTAGGGTAATGAGGCTCTCTCTCCCCTTCCTCCTATATAACTTTTGTATTTCTTATTTGACCTTCACAGGGGCATGGGACAAAAATCATACATCATAATTAAAAGACAGAGAAACAGACCCCCCCAAAATCACATGACTTGTCTATAGATTTAAGATAGGTTTTAATTGACCTATCATATTAACTACATACCAATATACTTTATGCAATTTAAATGCATATTTAAGCCTAAATCATAAGCTTAGCCTCCATATGTATATATTAATATTTTAGATAATGATTTCATTATCTGTAATTAAATTTTAGTGTAAGTTGTTCTCCAAATTCAATTTACATTTACCATCAATATGAATTTCTGAGGCAGAATACTGAGATTATATCAACCAGAAATGCCAGCATTTCTTTCTAATTATCAGAAATACAACTCTATTGTGTATGACTAAATGTAGAAAAAGGTATTTTGTTTTATTTTTTTAAAAAAAGCATGAGGGCCAGGCACCTTTGTAATCCCAGCACTTTGGGATGCCAAGAGGTGGGGATCACTTGAGCCCAGGTGTTCTCGATCAGCCTGGGCAACTTAGTAAGGCCCATGTGTACAAAATATATTTTAAAAAGCCACTGTGGTGGTGCCCACCTATAGTCCCAGCTACTCAGGAGGCTGAGGTGGGAGGATTAGTCGAGCCCGGGAGTTTGAGGCTGTAGTGAGCTATGACTTCTGCCTGGGTGACAGAGCAAGACTGTCTTTGCATATATATATATACATATATACACAAATACACATACATATATATGCATATGTGTGTGCATATGTGTGTGTGTGTGTGTGTGTATGCAAAGATTCCACAAAACAATCCTTCAAAATAGGCAAACAACTCCATCACATTTAAATATATTAGCTACAAACATAAAATAATCAGAGGCAGTCTTGATGATTTACTACCAATGATGGTTGAAGTTTAAAAAGAAAAATCTTCAAATGGCATTTAAAATTCTATGAAAGAAATCAGAAGTAGCCAAAATAATCATATCTCAGATGAACTGCTAAAATTTTAGTTCCAAGGAAAGAGTAAATTGGAAGTTTCAGCTCGGTAGCAAGCTCCTGTCACTGCTCTAAAGGAAAAGATTTCGAGCTGGAGAGTGACTCTAAATTTAAGAATATTCTGATGATGTTGGCAAGACTGGAAACGAGATATGTTTGAGGCAGGACGTTTAGCCAGGGGCTGCTTCAGCCATCAAGATTGAAAATATAGGCTAGAGGAGAGATGAAGAAAGGATGACGTGGAAACTCCTGGGTGGGGAGAATTGAGAGGGCTTAGGGTCCATCTGAATGTAGAAGACACAGGAGGGGAATGAGTTCAAGTGATAGCACAAGGCTTTCCAGATGGTTTTAGGAGCAGCTGAAAGAAACAACTTGACAAAAATGTCCTACTTTTAGACCAACAAGGAAATAGGTTCTAACCTCCAGCAAAGCCTTCAGAAGCCACTAGCTTATCCTTCTAAAAGAAATCTATTCTACCTAGGTTCTTGAGAAAAGAGCCCTCATTTAACATTAACTCTGACTTTAACTTGGGTAAAATATAGTTTTATCATAGGAATTTTTCCGTGGAAAAACATAATCTTTTTAGTAAGTGTTGTACCCATCCCACTATCCCCATCTTTTATCTTAGGGGAGTGACTTGGGCTTCTGTTTTTCTATCTGAAAACTTGGGATAACAACACCTGCCTCAAAGAGCTGCTTAGGCTTCTGGAAAACAATGAAATATGAACCACACACACACAGCTAGAAGAAGGAAGGTTTATTAAGGTTTCCGTACTGATCAAATATGATGTTAGTGGGTAAGAAGGAGGTCGGTGGGTGGAAGTTACAGGGAGGCAGATGTTGCCCCAGTGTAAAGAGAAACCTTCTGGGATCCAGAATTTTCAGAAGCTTGAATGGGTCACCAGGAAAGAGAGCAAGCTGCCAGGCACTGGAGGTGTTCCAGCCAAGTGAAGCCCTAGAGAAGGTATTTTTCATCAAGCCATGCACACATCTTCATCTTCATGGGTTTGCCTAACCAAGGTTATATTAGTTATTTGTCACTCCATCTCTTCTAGTAAGGGGACCATAGCATAAATTCAGCGGACAGGAGTGTTGATAATTAACCATTGAAATTGTAATGGATTGACATTTATTAAATGGTTATCATAGGCTGGGTGCATATGTGCTTTATAGGTGTCCTCACAATCTGCAGATAATGCTGTGATGCCAGGTTTCTGACTGATTTGAAATAGGCTTGGGAAGGTAAAACACTGGTCCATGGCTTTCTGGCTAATAACTGATGCAGCCAGGACAGAAACACATTTCTTTGTCTCTATGTTGATGTTTATTGAGGAAAAGGAGGAGGCAGAGACGAGGAGAGAAGACAAAGTGGAGAGAGGAGGAAAACATTCACAAATATTAGCCAGCCACTAGATATTATCAGCTACAAATCACTTGTGACACATGCCACAAGTGAAAGACGCAATGTAGAGAAGTACTTTTCATACTCATGCTTTGCCACAGAACTACCCCATCTACTTAGACAATGACCGTACAGCCCCAGTGAACTGGGATGTAGTCTGAAGAAAATGTCTTATTTTGTATCATAATATGGCCATTTAAAAAATAGAAAACGTGCCTCCATATTTTAGAACATAATGAACGCATAATAGAATGAGTGTCATATTTATCATGTGCCTTGTGTATCTCCTGGGATTATTACTTTTTTCTCCACCCCACTTCAGTTTTAGAATTAGAAACCCTATAATTCTATCAACAAATTATGATTCGAGGTTTACAAAACAACCATCATTCATGCATAAAAATCACTCAAGATCTTTGTACGTCCACCTGTTTCATCATTGTTGGCAGAGCACTAAATCTCCAGGGATTTTTAGTCTGCCCACAATATTAGTAGTTCCAGTGCTGCAAAAACAAACTCTCTTTGGGGTAATACATCCGACATTCTCAGGAAAGTTGTATTCTTTCCCAGAGTCCTTCAATGCTCATAAACTCCAACTGATTATTGCATTGCGAGTCTGAAGACATTCTCTGTCCGTCACCCCTGCACCTGTTATCTTGTTGGCCTTATCCAAACAGCCCAAGCCCTAACAGCAGCTGAAATAACAGATGGGCAGGATAACTTAAGATTTTTTGACATCATCCTTTTGTTTATGAAATCCCCCCCAACTCTGGAATCTGATAGAAATTCTTTTCATTATCATTTTGTGTTTTTTCCCATGGTACATTTTTATTATTCAAAAAATAAATAAATAATTGATGCAGAGGTAGATGAAAGACAGGAACAACATCTTCATTTGAAAATGGTCAAAAAAGAAATAGGGAGGAAGATGTGGTCATGTGGAATTGACATGAACATATATTTGCCTTGGAGGTTAATGGGCACTAGCCGTATTCATGTGGTAGTTTGTTTGTGAGGAAGTCAGAGCAGATACTAGGAGATCTTTAGGTCGGAGGAGAGATAATCTAAGCAAGTTGGAAATCTGGCAGGAACCAGTCCTTGGAATTGCGATTTCAGGACATGACTCGACTTAGAAAGGGGTGAGGTTATTAAAACAAACCTAAAATAGGGATAAGATAGGTAGAATATAGGTTATCGCTTAATAGCATATGATCGTAAGCAAGTTGCTTAATCTTTCTGTGCCTTAGAGTCACCATCTGTAAAATCAACATGAAAATACTAGCAGCCATAGAAGGTTGTTTTGATTTTCAAATAAGAAATTTATGAAAAATGTTTAGCCTAAGACTCTGTATTCTATTTATTCTATTAATGGAGGCTGCCATTATTATTATTGTCAAGAGTAAAGGCAATAGGGAGAAGCAAGAGGCAGGGAGGCAGAGAGTCACTGTACATGCAGCATCAGAAAAGGGTGTGTAATGGAGTTTCTCCTCTGGTCTTAAAATGAGGAAACATGATCAGATAATGCCCTGAGAATCTGATGTGGTGCTTTCCCACCTCTGTGCTTTTGTTTATATTTGTTTCTCCTGAATGGTTTCCTCCCAAACGTCTTCATTTTTAGTCATTTGCTATCTGATACTTTTCTAGCAGGGTTGCTATATAGGTTAAATTAAAGGGAAAAAAAACCTGCTATCCTACCTAGTTATCAGCCAACCGATGCTAGTTATTACTGTACATTTTAGTGTAGTCCATTAATACTTAGTTGACTTATATAACCAGAGTAGACAATAAAAAGTATTAGATAACTAAATGTGCGTTTGATTTCAAAAATGAGCAAGACTGATAGAATGCACTCCAGGGGATCAATTTTCCATCTTCTCCTTGTCTGCCCAGTGTTATAATTGTATAATTATGTCTTCTTTGTATTTTCTAGGGATCTAAATCTTGGTGATGTGTACCAGTATTGGGTCATAACTATTTCAGGAACTGAAGAGAGTCAGCCGTCACCTGCTGTCACATACATCCATGGAAGTGGGTACTGTGGCGATGGCATTATACAGAAGTAAGTAGATCTAATTAAAGAAAGAAGAGGAGGAGGGATGCGGATTAGGATTAGGTCAAGAGATGGTCAGGGTGCTGAATAGAAGAGCTTATGATGTTACTCTTCAGTGTATGGGCTGTGATTTACTAGTGGTCCCCAGCAGTCTCTGGATTGGTCTCTAAACGACTTGTTGAACTCAGAAGAAAAGCAATGACTATTTTTTTGAACATACACATTTTGCAACTATGTAATATGATTTAGACAGAACTACCCTTATGTACCTACTACCATTTGCTCTTGTACTTAATTGCTTTATGTGTGCTACAAGGATTCCATTCGTTTTTTCCATCACAGCGCACATTCAGTTAACAGAACACAGTTCATCTAGGTTAAAACACTTTTATATTCTTTGCTGGTTACCATTCACATTTGTGAAAACTGCATATTTATTTGTTATTTCTGTTATATTGTACAACAATTTACAAAATGGGTCAAAGGCTCATAAAAATAACAAAGCATTTTAACTCACTATAATGTTTAAACCATAAATAATAAACAGTACTCTGGAGTGAATATTGAATGTGAATATGAATACAATGAGGCAAATGAATTAGTAAGTGTGGATTTCATCAGAGTATCAGTCCATTCATCCTCTTGTTCTCAGGACAAGATGCTATTCAACTGGTAATTAGGGGTGAGGAGCCACCAAGAGTTTTACATTGTTTAAAACTCAATAAATAAGCTTTTAAGCTCTTTTCCTCTAGGATAAGGCAAAAAGGGTTTCTAGCACAAAATTGCGAATTTTGTGTCTAGAGGTGGAGAAAAGACCAATAATCGTTCAAAATTAAGTCTCTTATTGCTAAAATTAGGCTCCTCATTGCTAAAGTATTTATTTGCAAGTCACACTATTGCTAAGAGACTTTTTAAACTATTGACAGATTTAATGATAAATATTACGTGTGGAGAAGGCAAAACAAGCTATTGGCAAAATTCCTTCATTAAATAGCACTGTTGGGTGTCACATAATATCTGTGCAATATGGAATTGCAATTACTATTTCTATAAGGGGAGGGGTGGTATGAAGAAAGAATTTGCTTCACAGTTGGATGAAACCACTGATGTGCAGAACATGAATCAGCTCATAGGAGTAGTACATATATGAAAGAGACACACTAGATGACTATTTCTGCTCATCACTAACACCGAGCTAGAGGGGAAGAACGATTTAATGTGTTTATGATGGTTGTGTGGTACATAATGTAAACTGGAAACCTCTGCTTTGGGATGAAAGAACCAGCTAGGAATACAGCAAGGATGATGCAGTAATGCAGTTGATAAGAGCTGGCACATGAATACTAATCCACATAGACATCAGTTATTTGCCAGCAGTATTCTTTCTGAACATGACTTAACGTTAAAGGAAATAGAAATATTGCAAACACGATCAAATATCTTTTAAACTTGCTGTGTAAAAAGACAGTAGTATGTACAAGATTCTATTCCTCTTTGCTCCCCACTTCATAACTAATGTTTGCCAACTGTTAATGAAAAGGTACTAACTCAAGTTTTTAAAATAAGAAATGGCATTAGAAAAATATTGGCACTGATAAGGCAAGTAATTATTTGCATAATCTCAAGCGGCTTTCTGAAGCAGGAACATGTATTTACATCATATATATATATATATTTCAGGAACATACATTTATTTCTTAAATGTCCTACACCTAGAATTTCATATTCGAATTGTCAAAATATTTAAGATTGAAAAGATTAGTGTAAGAGTTTTTAACTGTTGAATTATAATGCAAACCTGCTGATTGCCAAGAATTTGACTCCTCAAGCATACCAGCCTTGGTCCCTAAGCCTCCAGAAATGTCCCCACCATTTCTTACCCCTGAAAATGAACATCCCTGACTATGTGGAGTAGTGTATACCACCACATCAGTGTTTGAGATAATTCCCAGAGGAAAGGGCGGGGGAACTCTCCTCCATCTTTTTTTGCAACATCTCATATCTTCCTTTTGCTGTTGCTTCCCCCACACACTTGGTTTTGTTCTATCCTACATTTGCTATTTCTATTTTGTGTTGAACTTGCTGCTTTTTTTTTCATATTGAAAAGATGACATTGCCCCAAGAGCCAAAAATAAATAGGAATTGAAAAAAAAAAGCTTGTCACTTGCTTGAACTATTTAACATACAATGCTGTGTGTATTTAAGATCCATATTCACATGTAACAACAGAACAAGAAGATTCAGTTTCCTATACACCCAAATTGGGGAAAGGGACACTTCTCACTGTTCTCTCCTACATTAATGCATCAACTTCCAGCTTTTGATACAGCTGCTGTCTGATGGAATATTGAACAACTAAGCAGAGGGCTCTCCATGGAGAAAGTACCGCATGATTTGTGGGTCCAAGATTGAACTTTATATCTAGAATATCCAGAAAATGTTTGCAGTTGTTGCTAGTAACTCATAATTGTGATTTGGGAATTTCTAATATAGCCCAGTTTTTTTTAAGTCACCAGATTTGGGGCCTCATCTACAGCTCAGTCTGTCCATGCTGGAAACAGATATAGATGCATTGGTTAAACACTGCAAATGATAGCATTCTTGCTGATCTAAAACTATTAGTATCATAATTATTATTATTAATTTTAAATAGTATACTTAATCCAGTTTTTTTAAGTACTTTTACCTAGAATTAGTATCTTGCATAAATATCAAACACATGTTGAGTTACCTGTAGATATCAAATATTGGTTGATATAATTTGTTGAAAACTAAATTGCTTACAGATGTTTCCTTAAGTGTGGGGGAAGAAAACTTTGGGGAAAAGAAGAAATATCATCTTAGCTAATAGAATTTTTCATGGAATGATGCAAGTTAATTTGCTCTATGTGTAAAAGAATTTACAAAGAAATATGGATCGACTCAGCACTCAGTGAGGCCCCTAATAGATGAGTGCTGTCTTAAATGATCCATAGCAGCAGGTTCTCTCATTTCATGGATAGGGTAAGGTGGAAGACAGTGGATGAATGTTTCGGTAATGATAATAATATTTATACATACTTTTTGAGCCTCTACTGTGCATGAAGCCCTGTGCTGCATTGTCTCCTTGAGTTCTCCCAATAGCCATGTGAGGTTGGTCTTATTATAATACTTTACAAATAAACAATGAATGCACAAAGAGATCATAGAGGTTTCTCATGCTTCCGCATCTGATAAGACATAGAACGTACATGTGAACAGAGGGCCCAGATTTTCATCTGGATTCCCCATTGCATTGCTGTGTGATGTGACAGCCTGGCAAAACTAACAAGTAAAAGAGTGACTGCATGCTGTCTGTTATATCCTAGGCACTGTGCCAGAAACTGGGTGCTAGGATGATGAAGACTCTGTCACTTCCTTTGGCAAATTATAGCATCTTATAAGGGGATCTCAAGTAACAGGCAAAGGCAGTCACTTTGACAAGTGCTGTGATAGATGGAATAAGTTGTCTGTGGACACAGAGAAGACCTGCTCCAGCCCCGGAGGTCAAATAAGGTTTCTCAGAACCTCTTTATCTAACAATAGATCTGTCATGCCTAGGAGATATTTTTTGTGACCCAAATTTTTGTTTTGTTTTGTTTTGTTTGAGATGGAGTTTCGATGTTGTTACCCAGACTGGAGTGCAATGACACGATCTCGGCTCACTGCAGCCTCTGCCTCCTGGGTTCAAGCAATTCTCCTGCCTCAGCCTCCCGAGTAGCTGGGACTACAGGCACGCACCACCATGCCCAGCTCATTTTTTGTATTTTTAGTAGAGACGGGGTTTCACCATGTTGGCCAGGATGGTCTTGATCTCTTGACCTCGTGATCCACCCGCCTCGGCCTCCCAAAGTGCTGGGATTACAGGCGTGAGCCACTGCGCCTGGTCTGTGACCCAAATGTTTTGTTTAAACCAGTAGAACACTGGGTGGCAATGGAAGGGAAGTTGAAAGTAAGCTTTGCGGCTTAGGGAACCAGCCCAGGTATTTTTTTTTTTTAAGTCTTTTCCAAAACAACCCATGAATTAGCTTACAAGCACAAGGTCATCAGCAATTTCCAGCAAGCAAGATCCACTGCCAGAAAATGCTGAGGCCAGCTAGAAATACGAACTTATTTTTTGCCCATAGGTGTTCAGACAAGAGAGGACTTGGGTGGCTCTTTGGAGATCAAAGCTATGCCCTGCCCATCTTAAGATTGATGGCAAGGTGCTATCCTGCTACTCTGACACCTCTTAAAAGCAACAAATGGGCTGGGCGTGGTGGCTCACGCCTATAATGCCAGCACTTTGGGAGGCCGAGGCGGGTGGATCACAAGGTCAAGAGATCAAGACCATCCTGGCCAACATGGTGAAACTCCGTCTCTACTAAAAATACAAAAATTAGCTGGGTGTGGTGGTGCACGCCTGTAGTCCCAGCTACTCAGGAGGCTGAGGCAGGAGAATTGCTTGAACCCGGGAGGCGGAGGTTGCAGTGAGCCAAGATTGTGCCATTGCACTCCAGCCTGGCACCTAGCGATAGAGACTCTTGTCTCAGAAAAAAAAAACAAAGCAACAAACATTGCCCACTGTTAATTGCTTGGGTGAAAGGAAAAATCTAAGGCCTCTTCAATGCTGTAACAGGTCCAGCTGGTCTCTGGGGATGGAAGGACAGCTGTCACACACTCTGCAGAGACCTCCCAAGGCCCAGTGGGAATGGGGACTGTGATTTCTTGAGCATATTCTACGTGACTCCCACTGTGTTGGCCACTTTAAGTTACTCAAAGGCGTAGGATTAATTATCTCCATTTTAGCACATGAGAAAATTGAGGTTCAGCATCCACAGAAGCACTGTTCAATGGACTTTTCTGCAATGATGGAAATGTGCTCTGTGCTGTCTGTTACAGAAGCCACTGTCTACATGTGGTTCCTGAATACTTGAAATGTGGCCACTATGACTGAGGATTCGAATTTTAATTATAATTCATTTCAATTAATTTAAATGTAAATCATCACAGAAAGATCAGATTGAGAGATCAAGATTATATGGTTAGTGTGAGACATGGGGTTCTAAACCCAAGTGTTTTGTTTTAAAAAGGATGAGAGTTTTCCAGTAAGAGATAACCCATCCAGACTTTCAGGTTCTGCTCCTCCTTCTTCTCACCTAAGCCCAATTCAAAGATCATTGCTCATTTTCTGCCCATCCCAGCCTTTGCAAAATCATCCTCAGGTGATGGAAATGATTCCAACAAAAACAAAAGGGGGCATTAGTATTTCTTAACAGTGTCGTCCCACAGCCCTTGGAGTTCTTGACGCCACAAAATGACACACCCAATGGAGAAAGGAAAATTTTTTAATGGAAGAATTACTAAACTTGAGTGCATGAATGAAAAAAAGAAAAAAAACAAACTTTGCCTTTAAGTATATTGGAGGAATAAGAAGGATATTAAGGCAGGGAGTGGTAAAGGAACAGGATATCCAAGTTTTCCTTCAAATATGCTCATTTAAGATCAGAAAGAAGCAAATGGCAGTGAGATTTCCTCGACACTGCAGGAGCAAGACCATTTATTTGTTCATTAGTTCTTCCATCTCTTACTCCCATCTCACTTGTTAAATGACTGGAGATCTCAGAGAATGAGTTGGAATCAGGAATTCGACTTTGTCATCAGAAATACAAAGCAAGGTACCTATCAAAGTATTTTATAAATCTACATCTTTCAGAAATCTCATTTTGAAGATGAAGAAACAGAGACTCAGACAGAGAAAGGGATTTGCACAAGGTCTCACTGAAGGTTCATGGCCCAGGGAGGGACTTTTCCATATCCGGCCATGGTTTTGAGACTAAATTGGCAAACTTCTCTTCCATATCTGTTCTGCAGAGGCCAAGGTGAAGAATGCGATGACATGAATAAGATCAATGGTGATGGCTGCTCCCTTTTCTGCCGACAAGAAGTTTCCTTCAATTGTATTGGTAAGCCTTTTTCATTTCTTGTGACCTTGCTGAAGAAGTGAACGGTGCAGAATAGTTGGTAATTATAATACCCACAATGGTTATGACTAAATGATGAGTCACGTCTTTGTATTACACCTATTTATTGAGTGCCTCCTACCTACCAGGCACTATTTTCTTTTTTTTATTTTTATTTTACTTTAGGTGTATACTATATCCAGCATTTCTCCCCACATTATCCCCCCCACCCTCCCCACCCCCCGCTGTCCCTCCCCTAGCCCCCTACAACTGCCCTCAGTGTGTGATGCTCCTCTCCCTGAGTCCATGTGTTCTCATCGTTCAACACCCACCTATGAGTGGAACATGCGGTGTTTGGTTTTCTGTTCTTGTGTCAATATCAGGAAATACAGCAGTGAAAAAACAAACAAACGAAACCAAGAGCTTAAGGTTTCATAAATGATGCCAATGGCGGGTAAGTTTTTTAGATCAAGCTTTACAAACATCCCTGCTTTTTTTCACGCTAACTGTCCAGGATGGGTAATACTGGTGATGTTTTAAGCCTTTTATTCTTACTTCAGAGATAAGAAAAAAAATGCCAGAAAGATTTCAAAAGTTGTCCAGAATTACACAGGTCAAAAGTGATTGAAGACGGAATCAGGACTTGAACCTGATATTGTCTGATTCTCAAGCATGTGCTCAACTCATTTTGCTTTGCAATCTTCAGCCAGGATCCAGGTACTACCAGGGGCCCCTCTGCAGACTCAGAACCTTGGGCACTCTCTCTGATCCGAGGAAGGAGGAATAGCAGACCAGTCTGTGTTTAGAAAGCAAACATCCTTTTTTCCCACCTTCACCGACTCATTTGGGAAATGTGTTTTCCGCTGCCTGCTCTTGTAGTCTGGCTGATGCTATTTCAGCCCCACTTGGGAGGCCCTGTTCAGCCCTGGGCTGGGCCGGTAAACTGACAGGGGTTGAGGGGGCAGGGGTGGAATGTTGAGCTGGCCCAGATGAGATCATACTTCCTTTAAGATGCAAATTGATACCTGAAGATCAAAAGTCCCCCAGCTAATCCCCTGGGCTGGAGGTGAAAACTAACCACAATTCATTTGCAAGTACAAAAGACAGAGTTGCTCTATCTGAAGAGGGAAGGGGCAGCTCCTCGGGGATGAAAACCTTCATGAGAAGATTTCTCACTGACAGGCACTTTTCTAGGACTAAAGGGGAATAGATGTCATTGCATCCTCACATCTGCGGTGCATTACAGGGGTGCATGTAGACATTCTTTCTCCCATTAGATTGTGAGCTCTGTGAGAGTAAAGATCATGCATCACATGTCTCTTATTCAATTCTCAACACACATTTGTTGAGCATCTACTATCTTCTTGGCATCCAGTAGGGGCTGAGCAACACAATAGAGGTGCTCTGGAAATATTTATGGTTGGAAGATAGGAAGATACCCCGGAAGAAGGACGTGGGAGTTTCTAGGCAGGGCCTTGAGTTTTAAATTGCAAAAAAATGTTTCTCCCCTCTGTTGATTTGAGTACAGTCCATAGAGAAAGTGATACCAGCCTAGTGATGTGATGTAAAGAATTTTGAATTAAAATTAGGAAAACCAGGTTCTAGTGCAAGCTGCGCTGAGAACTTACATAAAGCTGGCCAAGTAGCTTCCGTAGTCTGGTCCTCAGTTTACCTACTGTACATTTTTTAATGATTGGGTTTAGTGGTCTGTAAGAGCCCTACCTATACTTCTGTTGTATGGTTTCTAAGGTGGGTGACTAAACTCCTTCTAATTGTGAGCTCTACCTGAAGCAAACTCTTACTTTTGTCATCTTCCTCAGGGCAACCAACACTAGTCCCAGACCATGCTGAAAAATATTTGCCTATTTTACTTGCACTAATGTGGCAGGTAACTTATGTGCTTCTGGGAAGAAAGTAGAATGGGTTGAAGGTAGGATATGGTACCCGGAAAGAGATACTTGAGCCCTGACATTCATATGCTGTGTTGCTTTAGAACTGTGCAATGATCAGAAAAAATAAGGATGTCTCTGATAAGTAGAAGCTCCCCATCCATGGAAGGGGTCTGCAAATGACAGTCCATAGGCCATAACCAGCCTACTGCCTGTAACTGTAAATATTTATTGGAACACAGTCACACTCATTACTTTGCATATTGATTATGGCTGCTTTCATGCTACAGTGAAAGAGTTGAGTGATGGCAGCAGAGATTCTATGGCAAAAGAAACTAAAATATGTATTATCTAGTATTTTACCTATGAAGTTTATCAACCCCTGTTCCATGGATTTGGGATATTTGATATGCTTGTTTACTGGAGCCAGGTGCAGAGAATAGGTGAAAATTATAATATGATTCACCATTTCTTATTAACAAAACACTGCATTTTAAACATAAAGTGTAGCCAGGAATGGTGGCAGGCACCAGCTAATCGGGAGGCTGAGGCAGGAGAATCACTTGAACCCAGATGACAGAGGTTGCAGAGAGCCGAGATTGTGCCACTGCATTCCAGCCTGGGTGACAGAGCAAGACCTTGTCTCATAATAAAATAAACTAAAGATGAAGGAATTTCCAAGAAGCTGAGACTGGGATCCTCCTAGATTCATTTTGTGGGCTCTGATTCTCTGCCAGATAGTGTGTTCTGCTGCTGACGGTGATATTTGCTGAATAATTCTTATATACCAAGCACATTTATAAACTCCTATTCTCATAACAACTCTTTTGCTAAACTGCTCTTTCAGAAGAGGAAGCTGAGGCATGAGGTGGTGATGGAAGGTCACACAGTTAAGTGGTTTAGCGGGAGTTTAAACCCAGAGAGCCTGACACCAGAGCTCACTATGGTAAGCTACCTGCAAAAAAAAAGATAGCTCCTCGTCTTGCAGACTTTCAGGGTATATTAAAAAAAAAATACTGTAAAACAAGACACGTTACAAATTAGTGGAATGGAATACAAAACTGTCGGTGGTGTGGACAGTGTCCAAGGAAGGCTCTTCTGTTACCCCTATGGGTTGAGTGGAGTTTGTGTTACAGGAAAGCCTTCAGCTGCTCCCTTCACTGGCCATTTAAAATTTCATTATAGACACTCACAGAGAGATAGAGGCATTCCAGAGATCCCAGCTCCCAGGGATGACATTCCAAGGACAAATCATGTAGCTTGAGTCTAGAAAACTATCTTCCTCTGAAAGGAACAGCTGAAAAACAGACAGTGAATCTTTACTCCCAATAGACCTATCTTTAATGCGTCAGAGAAGTGAGACAAGTGTGGGAGGCTGTGCTGAGGTTGACATTGTTCCCATGATTGCATTTGTTAAGAGTGGTCAAGACAGCAGCCAGGAGATCAGGCATACCATGGCTTAGATGTGTGACCTTGGCTAAGCCTCAGTGTTCTCATGTAGAAAATGGTAAGAGCCCTATAAACCAACAGTGGAAGATATTTACCAGTATTTTAGGCTGCTTTCTATCAGAATTCCCTTCCTAGTCTTAGGAAATAATTATTCTAACAAGGAAGAGACCAACTCTCAGTTTAGAAGTTGAATATCCATGCATCTCCTTCTCCTGGTCTTCCATGTAGCTTGATTGTGGGTATACAGCTTAGGCTTTCCCTCTGCTCTTCAATCAGACACACCAACCCAAGACTTTGAGTTGGAAGCTAGTAGTGATTAGACTTAGGGATACTGTAGAAACCATTTTGCTGGCTGAGGATAGTGGGAGTGGCCACATCCATACCAGCCTCCTAGGTACCAGGGAATGCATCTGGCATCAAAGCTGAAATAGCTGTGCACAGCACCACCTCTGCATCCCCTCACTAAACTAGTTCTGGAGCCTAATCTTGGGCTTGGAATTGAGCTTCAGGGCACACAAGCCTGGCTCTCCAGAGTGTTCCATAATTATCCAATATGCTTTGAACAAATTTGGCTTGTTTGCTTTCCTTAAGTTAGCCAAAGTTGGTTTCTGTTGACTGTCACTTAGAATCTAGGCTGAAGATTATTTCCATTAGATAATATGAAATCTAACTCCATTTCTAGCAACTTGGATGTGCTTGATGCAGATTAGCTATTACTTTTGTCAGTGTGTGTTTGTATTGAATGTTGGGGGCACAGGATACCAGCAACTACCACCATTTATGGATAACCCACTAGGTAATAGGCTCTTCATACACCTCTTTGTTTTCTGTGAACTATGGGTGGTCTCTTGTTTCCATATGTGGGATCTAAGATCTCTTATGACATCTTAACTTGCACAGGGTTACATGGCACACAGAGGTGTGATCCTGTCTCGTCTGAATTGAAAACCCTGCTTGTTCTACTCTGCCATTCTGCCTCTTCATTTGAGTGACTTTCTTCCTTCCTTCCACCTTTCTTTTTTCTTCTTCTTCTTCTTCTTTTTTTGTTTCTGAGACAGAGTCTGGCTCTGTTGCCCAGGCTGGAGTGCAGTGGTGCGATTTCAGCTCACTCAACCTCTACCTCCTGGGTTCAAGTAATTCTCCTGCCTCAGCCTCCTGAGTAGCTGGGACTACATTTATTTTCTTCTTTTCTCTTTACCTCTTCCTCTTCCTGCTTTTTCTTCTCCTTAATCTCTTCTTCCTTTGCTTTTTTTTTGAGACGGAGTTTCACTCTTGTTACCCAGGGTGGAGTGCAATGGCTTGATCTCAATCTCGGCTCACCGCAACCTCCGCCTCCTGGGTTCAGGCAATTCTCCTGCCTCAGCCTCCCGAGTAGCTGGGATTACAGGCGTGCGCCACCATGCCCAGCTAATTTTTTGTATTTTTAGTAGAGACGGGGTTTCACCATGTTGACCAGGATGGTCTCGATCTGTTGACCTCGTGATCTACCTGCCTCGGCCTCCCAAAGCCTCTTCTTCTCTTTTTTCTCCTTCTCATCTACGTTCTTCTCCTTCTCCCATTTAAAAGGGCTGATGTTTTCCCTGGCTTAGTAACACCAGCGTTATGGTGGATGACAGATTTATGGTGACATTCCCATTCACTTTTCAGAAGCCCACACATCCGGAA